CCGACATCTCCCTGGCAGCCTTTCCTGCCAGGTCGGCCACCACGCGCGGAGCCAGGCGTAGCATATCAATCTGCTCACCTGTCTGGAGAGTGACCGAACGTGCCGAGTGTGCTGTCCAGCCCAAGTCACCACACGCCAGAACGTACACGTGAGCGGGCGAAGTCGCCCGAGACCAGGGTCTGCTTGTGTTGGCCAGCACACGCACGGCATCTTCAAAGGTGGCCTGCAAAATCTCTAGCTTGGGGGTGGCCTCCCAGAGGGCCCTGGCCCATTCAAAGATTACCTGGCGGAAATACAAAAGCACAGGGTCGACCTTCCTACCAAGTTTAAATGAGCGCAGCTTGAGGCCCACCGAGGCACCCCGCTTCATGGGAGCAAGGGCCAAAAGGGCCTGCTGACGGACTCTGTTGAGGGAAGACCACGGGAGCCCCCTAACGGCACATCCCCAAAGAGCGGAGGCTTGGGGGCCCGCACGCTGAATGTGGCCAACAGGGGCGCCAGCCCTCCTAAGACTACGGAGCCTCGCAGAGCGCCTGATACAGAGCCCCACCCTCTTGGAGGCTATGGGGGCCAGCCTAGACGAACTCACTTGCCAATCAGTGCCGAGGCTCTTGATGACTCCTCGGCGTTCAAAAGACATGTTCCACCTGCTCAGCAATCCATGTGCAACTTTTTTGGACGACGCCAGGAACTTGCATTTTTCTCAGACAGCACGAGGCGCAGCTCGCGCAAGCCCCCGATGAGCTTGCTCCCGACCTCGCCCAGCTGGGAGACGACGTGGAAGCCCGTGCCCAGGGACTGCGCGCTGATGTCGTCTATGACGTTCCGAATGTGGACTGATGGGTGAGCTGCCGCCAGCGTCGTGAGAAGCCTGTAGACCAAGACCCTCGCTAGCGATGTGGCTAGTGAACAACCAGCCAGCACTGTGCCCACCGCCCTGATGACGTCTGAGACACACCCTCGAAAGCTGATTGTCCTGGGGCCAGCATAAAGGCCGCAGGCTGCCCTGAGAAGCTTGACTGGGAAACCACATCCCTCCCCCTCATTGAACAGCACGAAGTGGCACACCCTCTCGTAGAACTTGTCGAGGTCCGTGGCCAATGTGGCCGTGTCCAGCCCTCTGACTGCTGCGTAGTGTGCGAGCATCTGGTGTATCCAACCTGCCCGATCACACTCACGATCCTTGGCCCCCCAAAAAACGGGGGAGGCGTGTTGCTCTTCCCACTCCTTGGCCATGTCGCGCCTGACCTTGCCCCAGACCCTGAGGATGGAGCATATGAGGGCGATCGGCCTGACTCCAGATCCATCTGGTTTGGAGAGGAAGACCATGATTGTCGGCCAACGCTCAGGCAAGCGTGGGTCCGCCTCCCACATCGCCAATACGTCGATCAGCCTGCGAATAAACTGGTCATCTAACAACAAAAACGAACGTGGGTTGACGCAGTCCACGCCTAGCCCAACAGTGCGACCAAACGAACGGCAGGCCTGTCGCACTCTCTCCACTGTGGGGCGAGGAAGGTCGGAGTTGTTCGCCAGCGCGTGCTGCTGGTCCGAGATGCACTGCTTGGCGTCGTCCCAGTACTGCGACCACTCCTCGACCATGGCATCGACTGCACCATCACCCTGCAAAGCCCAACCCTCGGGGGCCTTGGGCCCAGAGGCCTGGGGCGACTGCTTGATGAACCTGTGCGCCTTGCGCCCCCCAGCCTTGACTGAGGCCTGGGCCCATTCACGCCATTCATGGAGTTCAGCTTGGGCAGCAGCAGCCGAGGCCTCCTGGGCCGCGTCGCTGACTTTGACGCAGAGCGTGTCCAGGTCCTCCCCGCCTAGCTCGATCGTGTGCCGAATCTGGTGGTAGCCTAGCCCGATGGAGTCGAAGCCGTGCAGGGACGCCCCGTCGATGGCGTCCAGTTCTTCGAGCAAACCGAGCAGCACCTGCTGTCCATCCAACGAACACGACGTCATTGGCCTTCTCGAAGTAGCCGCCATGGCACCCCGCTTCTCCTCCTCCAGCGAAACTCCGAGACTGCCTGCTGGGCAGGGCGCTCCCTCGAGGAGGGGGGGCCGTGCCGAGGCGTTCGGGGTCTCCAGCCTTCTCAGGTCGGAGGAAGTGGGCCCAGGCGAGGGAGGCCGAAGACCCCGACGAGGGCGCAAACGAAGTACACGACCCGATCTGAGAAGTAGGCGCCGTGCAACCCACCAGCTCCTCCTCCAGCCGATGCGGCGCCTCGCCCGCTGGGCGGGGCCCCTCCTCTCCAAGAGGGCCCGCGGGGGCTGGCAGCCTCTCGGCCTTCGCAGGTCGGAGCGAGTGAGTCCAGGCGAGGGAGGTCGTCGTCGCCTGAGGCGCGGTAGCCGAACCCGCCGAGCCCGCCGACCAGTTCGCCATCTGACCGAAAGTGTGGCCCTGGGCGTAGTCGGGCAGCCTGACTCTCAGCGAGACGTCTGGCGGCGGTGCCGCCCTGGCCACCATCACCTTGCCTGCCTCCAACGATCCACCTCTGAGCCCTTGCGCCCGTCTGATGATCGAGGCGAGGGACCTCCAAGCGCGCATGACCTCCCCGCTGCCTGACATGGGGGCCTTCCTCATGACTTCTGCCAGTGGGACGGCCTTCCTCACGAAGCCGCCAGACCTGCCCTTGTAGGGTTGCGCAGCCCTACCCACAAGGTCTAACTGCCAGCAGAGCTCCTCCTCCATGTTATCGATCCACTCCTTCCAAGCGTCCTCCAGCTCCATCGACGGTGCAACTCCTGGCTCCCAAGACCAGGTGAGATCGATGGGGTGGTTGAGGCAGCCGATGGGGCGCTCAGTGGGGAAGACCTTCCACGTCTGGCGAACATGTACAGGAATGTCAAGCGAGGGTCCCGTGAGCTGCATGCTGATGGCCACGTGCGGCGACATTGGAGCACCGTAGAGGGCCCTGACATCCGAAACACACGAGGCAAGCCCCTGGCTGACAATGAAGAAATCTATCTTCGAGCCCTGCGGGGCAGAGAAGCACGTCGGCCCAGGCGTGGCGATGACCGTGGCCTGGAGCATGTCGGCCCACTTCAGGATCCTCTCGTCGTAAGGGTCCTGATTGAAGTCACCGCCGATGACCCAAGGGATTCTGGACCTGCGCAACTTGCCACCAAGCTGCGACATCATGTCCCAGAACACCGAGTAAGCCATCTTCTCAACGTGGCCGTAGACGGACATGAGGTACATACCATGGGGGAAAATCATGTTTGCCCTGACTATCTTGAGGCGCGGGCCGAAGGCGGCGTCCACCCCGAACTTCTGGAGGCCGAGCCCCGCGAACTCCACGTAGGATGACACCGCGGTGAGGACTCCCGCCGAGCTCTCTGAGGCCTGCGACCCTGTGGCACGAGCTGCGCCGAAGGCACCATGGTAGCCCCGAGACCGAAGCCATCCTGCAGCCGAACGAATACGTGATGTATCTTTGAGCCGATGTTCCTGGCACAAAAGAACTTGTGGTCTGGTGGCGTCCCCCCAACCCCTCTGCCAGTCGATGGCTGCCTGGAGCGAGCTCCAGGAGTTGGCGTTCGCAGACCAGAATCTCCAAGCCTTGTCCTTGCGGCCCTTGACCTTGGAGCGGTCAAAGCCGCTTCTGACGCTTGCCGAGGCCGAGGGCCGCTGCCGCTGCCGCGACCTTCCGCTTGAGAACCTCCTGGTCCTCGGGCTTGGCCTGGCGGAGCTCCTCTGTGGCCTTGCGCAGCGCCTCAGACTTGGACTCGAAGCCGTCCTCGCCGAGCAGCTCCATGTCGATGTCGTCGTCTCCAGCAGGCTGGTCGACGTGCTCATCGTCGTCTGCGTCAGAACATGGAGGAGGCTGGCCACCATGCTGAGCAGCAGAAGTAGCATGGGCCCGAAGCATCTCCATGAGGATCCTACCTTGGGCCCCCTGGGTATCAGCCTTGAACTTGCGGTACCACTCCTGGAACTCACTGCCCTGGGCCGAGACGGCTTCGGGGTCGAGCTCGAACGAAGGAGGAGCCCAAGCCGCCGCAGGTGCCGAAGGGGCCGCGGCTGCCGTACCTGCAAGCTTGGCAACCTGTTCAGCTGCCTGCCGCTGTAGCTCCTCAACTCTGGCCTGAGCCTCGTCAGCAGCAGCCTTGAACTTGTCAATCTCCTGCTGCAGCTTAGCCTGAATCTTCTTGAGCTCCTCCTCCTTCTGCGAAGCCTTCTCACGCCAGCTGGCCGCCGAGGCCTTGGCGCGCGTGATCTTCTGGGTGATGGAGAGCTGCTGGAGCTCAGGAGACCGTGCCTGCGTGATCTTCTCCTGCAGCCTCGCGATCTCCTCCAAAGCGAACTTCTTAGCTGCTTCCGACGAGGACTTGCTCTGGGCCACCTTGCGAAACGTCTCCAGGGACAGCCTGGCATCCTCCAGAGCCTTGGCCTCAGGGTCCTCCTCGTCGGCGGCGGCCGCCGGCTGCGGCTGCTTCGTGGACGTCGTGGGCTGGAGCAGGGCCAGCTGCTTCTTGATGTCGGCGAGCTGCTTGGCCAGGCCCTTCTCGCCGTCCTTGCTGGAGCCTTTGGCGCCGCCTCCGCGGGGCCACTGTTGCTCCTGGCCGCCTCCCCTGCCCGCCACGATCTTCTCGTGCTCCGCCTTGGCGGCCTTCGCGATCCTCTCAGGGGCCTTGGCGCCACAACGGCAGACGAGCCGCGACGCCCAGTTCCCGTCCCTGCCGCAGCGCCCGCATCCCCACGGGGGGGAGCGGGGGCCAAGGAGCACATCCTTGCGGGCATTGCTCCCCATGCCACGAGCGTGGTGAAAGAAGCGGGCGGCCCGTGCGCCCCTGTGGTGCGGGCAAAGAACTGATCGGGCTCAAGAGCCCTCCCTGCCTTGAGCCAAAATGGCTACGGAGGGGGGAGGAGGAGGAGGAGGAGGAGAGGAGGAGGAGGAGGAGAGGAGGAGGAGGAGGGGAGGAGGAGGAGGAGGAGGAGAGGAGGAGAGAGGAGGAGCCGCGGAGGAGGAGGAGGGAGCAGTCCGAGTAGGTGACGTGGAGCGACGCCGCGGGCGGCGGAGCAGGCCCAGAGCATGTGCAGCGTGAGCACGCCCGGTCCGCAAGGAACCGCGCCAAAGGAGGCCCAGTCCGGAGACCCCAGGGTGTCCGTGGACTCTTTGGTGTGGAGGAGGGGGGAGCCTCAAGTTGGGCGTGTCCTCCTGCAGGCGACTCCAGGGGAGCCGCGGGCGGGGGCGCACGCGCAGAGCAGGGGCAGCGGAGGCCAGTCCGCCAGGAACCGCGTGCCACAGGAGGCCCACCCCAGAGACCCCAGGGTGTCCCTGGACGTTTTTTGGTGTGGGGACGTCACGCGTTCCCATGGCAGGGCCATGGAGGCCCAAGAGACGCGGGGCACTCTGGAGGCAAGCAGGGTGTGTCTTGGCATGGGCTCCCCACTGCAGTTCTCGCGCGCGTGTGCCAGATCACAGGCGTGTGCAGCAGGACGGGCCCAGGAATGACACTCCACGCGAGAGAGGTGTAAGGCTTCACAATGATCTTTGACCGCTCCACAAGATCAACTCGAACTTTCCCCAGGAGCATGCCCGCCAATCAAACTTTCTGCCCCACGGTTTAATGAGGACCGTAGCTTTCACTGCACCGCTTGATGTCATCGCTCCGATCTCTGGACAATCAGCCAAATTTCAATAACTGATCGTCCTCGAAAATGGTATGGGAAATTTCAACCAGATCACCAAATATCAGAAGCTAAGGGGTCCAATCGAAAAAATGTTAACCCAGGCCGTCTAGGCCAGTGCCACGCGAGAAGGAGGAAGGCGAGGGTGATGGCGGAATATCTGAGGATCTGGAGATAAAGACAGGAGGGGAAGAAGGAGGAGGTGGTGGAGGAGGTGGAGGAGGAGGAGGAAGAGGAGGAAGCGGAAGCGCCGAGCCCGCCCTGTCTCCTGCCCCTGAGCCGCCTCGACAGAAGGAGGCGGAGCTGGGGCCCAGCCGCTGCGAGGGCGGCGGGTCAGGCGAGCGTGGCGTCGAGGCAGGCGCCCAAGTCGGCCTCGTCCTCGATGTCGGCCAGCCCGCACAGGTACGCGCGCACCTTCGCGAGGCGCTCGGGGCTCCACTGCGCCGCCTGCTGCACCAGGGTGGCGCCCCCGCCCTGCGCCTCGATCTCCTCGAGCAGCAGGCCGATCTGGTCGAACGCGGCGATGGCTCGGTGGCAACTCATGGGAACCTCCCATGCCTTCTGGCGAATCTCTGGTCGGGCGAAAGGGGGGGATAGCAAAGGGGGGGTTTGAGAATCAGCTCACGTAGCTGATTTTCCCGGCGCCTCCCGGCGCCGGAGGCGCCCATGTATCGAGGAATGGGCCCCTCGGTGAGGCCGAAACCAGCTGCATGCATCAAATTTCGTAACCCCCCCTTTCCCAATCCCCCCCTTTCGCCCGGCCCGAGAATCGGCACTGACCGACGCTGATCGACGCTAAAATGGCGCTGTCTCATCGACTACCAGACGTGAGCGCACGCTAGTACACTCTACGGGCAGAACTGCAAAAAAACATATGAGTCTCACAGAATTTGCTACCGAACGATGGGGTCCAAATGCCCCAGCGTCTTCTCCGTCATCTGCCACCACTGCTTCCAGTCCCATCCAGTCCGCTTCCAGCCGTTCGGGAAGCACGGCGACTTCGGAAAAAGCAGGAACATCATCTCGCGCAGCGAGCCAGACTCGTCGCGCTGCCCCTTGTATGCCTGCTGTGCAGACTCCTGCACCGCCTTCGTCTTCGTGCGGTGCCCCATGACCAGCTCTGCCAGAATTCGCCGACCCCTTGGGTCTCCCTCGGCGCGTAAGATAGTCACCCCTCCCCAAAACCCGGAATCTGCGCAAACAAAAACCAAGCGAAAATTTAAAGCGATCCACTTGTTCTTCGAGGTGTTCACCTAACCGACATGTTGGATCGCGATCAAATCTTGATTGCATCGTGAGAAGTAGCGGGAGAGAGAAGAGGAGAGAGAAAAGGAACATTCGTCCTCGCTTCACCCGCCTCCTCTCCACTTCACTGTGCAACCCCTACCTACTCCTCTTCACTCTACAATTCCAATAATTAACACTCCACCCAACTGTTCCCAATGTCATTCCGCTCCACCCCATGTTTTGGCACTCTTTCCAGGTAGAGTCGAGAGAAGCTCTCAACACACACACACACACACACATACACACACACACACTGGGTTTCGCTTCAGACATCCTCCAGAATTTGACTTTGGGTGGGCTCTCGATGAGCTGAACACCGGAGAAATGTTAGTTCGTCGAAGGTTGGGGGAAAAATCGGTTTCGGTTTCGGTTCGTGCCCTGCGTGACGCGCGTCCGGGCGAGGAGAATCTGCGCGAGCTCCTGCGCTGGATGTGCCCAAGCCACACTAAAATGAATCGCGTCTCTGCCGTCCAGGGCGTGCCCCAGGTTGTCCAACGGTTGTCCCATGGTTGTCCCGCGCGCGCCCAGGATTGTCCCGCGGTTGTCACGTGGATCTGCTGTGGTTGTCCCTTGGTCGTCCCGTGGCGGATTTGAAGCTTCCTGTGGTTGTCCTGTAATTGTCCCTTGGTTGCCCCTTGATTGTCCCGTGGTAGTCCTGTTGTTATTCCGTAGCTTTTCCGCAGATGCCCTGTGGCTGTCCCGCGGTTGTCCCGCGGTCGTCCCGTGGTTGTCCCGTGGTTGCTCCGTGGTTGTCCCGTGGCTGTCGCGCGGTTGCCCTGTGGCTGTTCCATTGGCATCGCGTGGTTGTCCCCCGTGGTTGTTCGGTGACTGTCCTGACTCTGTCCCAAAAACGTTGTCCCATGGTTGTGGCCGTGGTCGTGTCGCATGGCTGTCACGTGGTTGTCCCGTGGTTGTCCCGGGATTGCTGGTCATCCCGTGGCGGTGCTAGGGTTGTACCGTGGTTGCCCCGTGGCTGTTCAATGGTTGGCCCGTGGTTGGCCCTTTGTCAAGAGGCCGATATATATATATATATATATATATATAAGGGTAAGAACATCAGATAGCGAGGCCCAGAAAATGATAGCAAGGTCGATGGGTAGTGAGACCGATCGACCGTGAGACCGATACGTGCACACACATATACGTGCACGAATAAAGATACAGATTGATCGAGGCACCGACGGATAGGTAGTGAGATCCACGTTCTGTGGTTGCCAAGTGGGTGTTCTGTGTCCTGCGGTTGTCTGGAGGTTGTCCCGTGATTGCCCTGCGGTTGTCCAACGGTTGTCCCGTGGTTGTCCTGCAGCTGTCCCGTGGTTATCCCATGGTTTCTGTGGCTGTTCAATGTTTTTTCCTGTGATTGTCTTATGGTTGTCCCGAGGTGACCCCGTCTACAGACAGATTGGAAGACAGCACGACCATTATATAGTGAGGTCAATACATAAGAGAGACGATGAGATCGACAGGTGGAGAGGTCGATAAAGATCTTGGTGGTGGGATCGAACGGGAGATTATGTGAATGAAGAAATCAAGATCGACAGATCAATAGACCGCGGCTCCGATTCGATCCCAATCGCAAGCCGAAAGCTGCACCCATCCCCCCCCCCCTACACACAAAACAAAACTCCTTAGCACCCGAAGGGTAGTCCTAGGTATGTTGCTGTGCAGGCTTGCGGGAAGGATCCACTTCAATGGAGCATATCGTGTTCACCCAAACTCTGCCTTCGGTGAGGTGTTCCGGCAGAGGCTGCTTCACACCATCTTCTCGGCGCAGCCTCTGGTGGCCCATAGGTGGCCCAAGCTGACGCAACGAGAGGGTCCCTCAGGCGCCTAGGACGTCTCTTGGGGGCAGGATGCGATTGATGTGCCCATACTTGTCCTTTTGAATCTTCAGGGGGCACGCCTACATGTCTTGTGATAGCGATGTTGTTGTACAAAGTTACACAGCTCTTCGGTCTCACGTGCCCCCCGCTCATGCAAAACATGATTATGGAAAGCAAAGGGGGTCGCTCGAGACATTTTCGAAGCATTGCCTTCAGAAGGTTGGCGCTGTTGAGCTCCAGCGGATAGGCACCTTGAGTGGCCCATTGCGACATGCTTCCGACTCTCGTCTCCCCCTCCTTCGCGGCCCAGTGCTCTTCCTCCACCAGTTCCCTGTGTTTTCTTGCGTATTGGCCATGGCGCCCAGTAGTTGCTTTCGGTGGCCCATGCCAGACAAACGCGACTCCAGGCCAGCATAAGCCCTCCCGGCCGAAAAAGGCCAGGTCGCGATCAAACATGTTCCGAGTGCGGCACCGCGTGGAAATATTGCAACGCGATCATCTTGTTTTGGTGCCCACGGGAGGGGGGAGGACTGGAAAGGGAGGACAGGAAAGGCGAGACGAGACAGGAAAGAGGAGACCAGACAGGACAGCGAGGGGGCGGGAGAGGAGAGCGTAGAGATACCAGAGGAGGAACGTAGCCTGGGGAGGAGAGGGAGGATGCAAAAGAGGGGACAGGAGAGGAGAGAAAACAGGAGAGGAGAGAGAGAGAGAGAGAGCGAGGGAAGGAGAGAGGAGAGCAGAGGAAAGGAGAGAGGATAAGGGAGAGAAGGGAGGAGAACCCGGACCAAGGAAGAGAGAAAAGACGGAGGAGGAACTGCATCCGCCCCCCCCCCCTGGGCTCGCCCCGGGCTCGGCTGGCCCCGCACGCCTGGGGTGCGATCAAGCATGCTGCCCCTGGGTCGTGATGCCACCCTCTAGGGGGAAAACAAACCGACCTCGCGTTTGACCACCCTCGCTTCCAAGAGATACCCAACGATGCCAAACTACGGCCTGTACTGGTCAGGCCGCTTGACGAGGAGGCGCGTGGTATGGCTTGGTTTTGCCTGGAAGCGAAAGCGGGGCAGGCAGTTCACGCTCTGACCCCTCTCCCAACCGGCAAGCCTTCGGGCTGCGAGCGCACGGCCGGCCCCACCGCGCAGCCCGTGGCCGACCTCGGCGGGCCCCCGGGCAGTCTGCTGGGGCTCCCAGCTCCGCGCTCTCGCGCCCTCGCGGAGCGCGCAGCGCGAAGAACTTCGCGCGCTCTCGCAGCCGCCCCCCGCAAAGGGAAGGACGAGGAGCACGAGGAGGAGGCGGAGAAGGAACGAAGAGGACGAGGAGGACGAGGAGGAGGCGGAGAGAAGGAGCGAGGACCGCGAGGAGCGCGAAGCGCGAAGTAACTGGGCGCCCTCGTGGGCGCCTTGGAGTCGGGAGCGGCCAAGAGGGGGGTGTCCAAGAGGGGGGGGTGCAAATCATGACCGGCGGCATGTGCGCGGCCCAGCCGGGGGGGCCAGGGACGCAATGAAAGACGAAGAGGCGCCACGAAATCCGGGGAAATATCATGGCCCACGCCAGGAGATCCACCCCCCCCTAGTCTCGGGCAGGGCGAAAGGGGGGGATAGCAAAGGGGGGGTTTGAGAATCAGCTCACGTAGCTGATTTTCCCGTCGCCTCCCGGCGCCGGAGGCGGCCATGTATCGAGGAATGGGCCCCTCGGTGGGGCCGAAACCAGCTGCATGCATCAAATTTTGTAACCCCCCCTTTCCCAATCCCCCCCTTTCGTCCGGCCCGATAGTCATCACCCCCCTCTTCTCCGCCCCCGATTGAGTCTGGGGCGGCCTGCGCGCCCCCACCTCCGGGGCGCGGGGCACCGCCCACGGGGGGCGCCGCCGGAGGCGCGCCCCGCCCGGGCGCGGAGACCGCCCCGCAGACTGCACTCGCGGGGGCCCGTCGAGAGGCCCGCCGCGGACGTTACCTGGGGGGACCCTCCGTCTCCGCAGTCCGAGGCCTCGCCACTGCAAACCCCAAGCTTGCAGTCGGGGCGCTGACCTAAGGAACCCTAAACAAGGAACGAGGCCCCTTTTTTTGCATAAGTTGAACTTCGACTTCCCATCGAAAACACAAGGGAAACCTGAGGCAAGCTGTGAAACAATCAAGGAACACCGAGCCCCTCCCCAACGAAAAGGGTTCCTTCTTCAGCGCCCCGACTGTAGGTCGGGCGTGTCCCCTGCAGGGGGATTTTGGGCGAAAAATTCAAAACATATTCCCCTAATGCTCAAACATAGTCTGTCAAAAAATAGTCCCCATTTTTTTTGTTTACCATTTTTGAAGTTCCCTCCTGTAGAGGGACAGGCCCGACTCAACCCCAAGCCCCTCCCTTGGGAGCCTGGCCCAGCCCACCTGGAAACGGCGAAAGGGGGGTCTGCCTGGGGGCGCTGGCGCACTCCTCTGGCTCAGGAAAGCTCCCGGTCGCGCCAAACTTGCGAAAGACATCTGCGCGACGGCCCACAGATGCTCAGGCACGGCCCAAGACAGGTCCAAGAGGGCTCCAGGTGGCCTCAACACAGCCCCCGAGGCTCCATAGACGGCCCAAGAATCACGGATTTTCCTTTGGCGTGTCTACATGCTTCCATTGCCTTTTCTCTTTAGACAGCCTGAGAGGCCCCCACGATCGCCCCAGCACAACCCAAAAGGCCCCAAAGAGGGCCCCAAATCGGCCCCAGGGGGCCTCGAGATGGCGAAAAGGCCCCCAAGACTGCAGATGGCCCGAGGAGAAATCCAAGGGGGGAAACTCGAAGGGGCCCCAGGGGCCATCCCCTACGAGATGGCCCCCCCAAGCGCCCCACAAGCCCCCAAGCCAGACCCAAGAGGCCCCAAGAGGCCCCCGAGAGGGCCCCCAAACGACCCCTTCTAGATTTCTCGAATGCACTCACGGCGCCAGGACGCTCCGACGACAACGCCACCCGGCAGCGAGGCACCCGGAGCTCCCCGGGGGGGCCGGCGGTGCGGCGCATCGGCCACCGCATCCTCCCGAGCCCCTTGGGCCGCACTCGCAGGATGAAGGCCATGAGCGGGGCGAGCACCTCCGACTGCCTGTCGGGCGGGATGTCCATCCTCGCCCACAGCTCGATCCAGTCCTTCGGCTTCTTCACGACGCCCTGCACCACGGCCTTCTCCAGGTACTTCTCCAGCAGCTCCTCCCGCAGCTCCCCGGCGGGGCCGAACACCTTCTCCGTCCCCACGTCCCCGAAGAGCGCGTACAGCGGGTCCGCGTCCTCCCACGCAAACGCCTCGTCGGCCCGCCCCTCGAGACCGGCGTCGGAGGCGGTCCGCTTCATGCCGGCGCGCCGCGGCGCGAGCGCTCCCCGCTCACCCCGGGCGCGCCTCCGCCCGGCCGACGGCGGACTGAGCCTGCATGGCTCCGCGGAGCAGGGCGAGGACCTCTACCCCCTCCGAGGGGCCCGAGAAGCGAAAATCATAGATTCCCCTTGCGGTCAGGTCCTTTTGCTCAGCGTGTCGCGGAGGCAGACCCCGCGGCACGCTGCGCTTTGAAAGCGGATAGCGTGCCGCTTCGCTCCGCTCCACGGGGTGGGAGGCTGGGAACTGTTCGGGCCGCTGACGCTTGGGAGTGGCGGCGCGGGTAACGCGTCGCGCCGAAGCGTGGTGGGCCAGAACCTGCGGAACGGCACGCTAAGCCAAAGTTCCTGACCGTATTCCCCTTAGTCACAAACCTCGAACTCATCCCCATCCCTGAAATCGGCACGCCCAAGGCGATGCCAGTCTCAGGGATGTGCCCTCAGAAACTGAGCGATTCCTCAATATCGACACCGAAGTAAGCCGACGCCAGGGATAGGGATAAGGCACAGACTGGTATCTCGGGCCGTCGAAGGACGTCAATGCTCTCACCCTTTCGGGCTTCTGGCCCCCCAGGACCTCCCCTCGCCTCCCGCCGTGGCTGCACGCGCCCCCCGCGCTGATAGCGCAAGGGGCCAGCCCGCCGCCGTCTGCACAGGCGCTGCGGAGGGCAAGCGGAGAGAGAGAGAGAGAGAGAAAACAAAAGCGACGACCTCGAACCCTTCGGGGGGTCCCCACGGCGCATTGGCCTTGCAGGTAAAGGAGGGGAGGGAGGAGGTGGAGGAACGATACGACGTGTAGGGGCAAGACAAGGATAAGGACAATGATGCAGATGATTATAGTGATGATGATGATGCTGATGATGATGATGATGATGATGATGATGATGATGATGATGCTGATGCTGATGATGCTGATGCTGATGATGATAATGATACTGATGAAGATGCTGATGTTGATGATGATGGTGATGGTGATGCTGGTGATGCTGATGATGATGATGGTGATGATGATGATGGTGATGATGATGATGATGATGATGATGATGGTGTTGATGCTGATGCTGATGCTGGTGCTGGTGATGATGATGATGCTGCTAATGATGATGGTGATGATGATGTTGTTGATGATGATGATGCTGCTGCTGCTGCTGCTGATGATGATGATGATGATGATGATGATGATGATGATGATGATGATAGCCGCTCCAGGTGCGACGGGCGGCGGCCTTGAGCAGAGCCGAGGATGGCCCTTCGCGTGATCGGGCGCTGGCCCCGCTCGACGCAAACGTGCGTCGATACAGAACTCCTGGTCTGCCCCGCTGCCACAGCGGTCTTGTGGAGGCAGCTGTGGGGCGGCGATTAGGCGCCAAACAACGGCATGTTAGATTCTACCCTCGGCCCTCCGCCCACCCCAAAAAAAGGTTCGGAAGCTGTTGGGCAGATTTGTCCCGCGCAGGGAACCCTGAATCCAAAAACAATGCCATCTCTAGGGGGCAGAGGGGGGGGGGGCATTTGTTCACATGTGCTGCCCTCCGCTGACGAAGAAGCCGCTCTCGCTTTGCTTCCGCAGGCTCCCGAGAGCCTTCCGCCAGAAGTCGACCTCTCGATCCCTCGACCGCAAGGCACGCTCTGGAGCGCCCCGTCTGGATATTGATGGCCGTTCGTGCCACGAGGTGGGTCAGACGCTGGGCGAGGGCGGTCCCGCCGCTGGCGGCCACCACCTTGAGCTCGTGAGCGCCCGATCAGCGTCGAGATAGAAGTCTCACGAGAAGGCCCTTCGGGAACGCAGCCTCTTGCTGGCCCCAAGTGCGCCTCGAGGTGCGAGGACCGCCACAGGAAGACACTCAAAACAGCGGAACGACCTGAGGAACATCGATCCCCCCCTAAGAAGCCATCGTGGTCCTCATTCAAGAGATCTTGACTGCATGTGCCACTTAACCAAGGTAGGCTCACAGACTCTCGGTCTGGAGGACGACGACGACGACGACCATGGCGACGACGACGACGACGACGGCGCCGACGACGACGACGACGACGACAACGACGACGACGAGCACCGAAGAGGGACAGCCCCCCCCGCCCCGCCCCCTCTCGTGGCGCGCGCAGCCTTCAGGCGCCCCGCCCGCGCCGCGGGAGGGCCGGGTGCCCGCGGCGCCTGGGCGGGCCCGGGCGGCGCCCCGCGCCCCCTGCCGGCCGCCGCCGTCCCCTCGGCAAGGGCCTGGCGGCTCCTGCCGTCCCTCGGCTCGCAAGGGCGCGGCCGCGGCTTGCGCTGGCCAGGGCTTCGAGGCGGATCCGGCAGCAGCAGCAGAGACCTCGAAGATGGCCTCCTCCTCCCTCCTGCTCCTGCTCCTGCTCCTGCTCCTGCTCCTGCTCCTGCTCCTCTCCTCCTCCTCCTCCTCCTCCTCCTCCTCCTCCTCCTCCTCCTCCTCCTCCTCCTCTTTCCTGCTCCCTCCTCCCCCTGTGAGCTGTGAGCTGATGGGGTGAGATTCGTTACCGATGTCGCCCTCACCCCCAGGGCTGACCGGCCCTAGGGGGACTGATCAAACTAATGCCAGGAGACCCCTGGAGCACCGCTCCAGGGGACGCCGACAGATAGGGATAACCGTAAAAGGGAGGATAGATCGACAGACAGACAAGCGTAAGAGAGGGAGCGCGAGGGGGAGACAACGGAGACCTCCTCCTCCTCCTCCTCCTCCTCCTCCTCCTGCTCCCCTCCTCCTCCTCCTCCTCCCCTCTCCTCCTCCTTTCTGCTCCTCCTCCTCCTCCTCCTCCTTCTCCTCCTCCTCCTCCTCCTCCTCCTCCTCCTCCTCCTCCTCCTCCCCTCTTCTCCCAGACCTCCTCATCCTCCCCCACCCCTCCCGTTCCCTTCCCAAGGCCTCCCCCCCTCGCCTTCAATTACCTTTTTTACGCTCCTACCTCTCCTCTCCCTCCCTACCACTCCGCCCCTCCATCTCCATCCACCTATCGCTCCCCCTCGCCTTCCCCCCTCCCCACCCTCATGCCCTCCACACCCTCAGCTCTCTCCTCACCTCTCCTCCTCTCCCGTCGCCGTCGCCCGAATCTTCTCCCGTCTCTCCCCGCCCTTCCACCTCCTCCCCGCTCAACCCTCCCCTCCGTGTTGCCTCCCTGGCACTGTCGGAATTCCTCCCAACCGAGGGCCCCAAGAGGTCCGGACCCATCCCCCAGGACCAGCTTTTCACCCTTCGTCGTGCTTTGACGGCCCCGAAGCCCGGGGAGGGCCCCCCGTGGCCGACGATAGGGAACCCTTAGGAATCCCTAAGGAATCCTGAGGAATCCCTACGGAATCCTGAGGACTCCCTAGGGAGTCTCTGAGGAGCCTCAGGAACTCCCTGGGAATCCCTGGGGGATCCTCTGGAATCCCGCCGTGATTTTTCGCAGCGAGAAAGGGGGGCAGGGAGCTGCCCCTCGCGGCCCCCACGCCTCCGGCCCGGCCCGCGCGCGGGCGAGCAGCAGGGGCGCCCAGGTCCTGGCAGAGGTGAGTGGAGGCCAGCGGAGGCCGCCAGAGCCCCAGCCGTTGGCAGAGTGATGTCGCCAGGTGGTGCGAAGTTCCCTCCTCCTCCTCCTCCTCCTCCTCCTCCTCCTCCTGCTCCTCCTCCTCCTCCGCCTCCTCCTGCTCCTGCTCCTCCTCCTCCTCCTCCTCCTCCTCCTCCTGCTCCTGCTTCTCCTCATCCTCCTCATCCTCCTTCTTCTTATTATTATGGTTATTCATATTTTTAGTTTAATCAGTGTTATTATTATAAGAAGTATTATTATTAGTTTTTTATATTATTATTATTACTAATATTAGTATTATTAGTATTGTTGATATTATTATTATTGTTATTATTATTGTTATGATTATTTTTATTATCATTATTATTATGATTATTATTATTATAAGTATTACTATCATTATTACTACTATTATTATTATTAATATTTGTATTATTATTAGTAGTATTATTATTATCATTATTATTATTATGATTATTAGTATTATTAGTAGTATTTTTAGTATTATTATGATTATTAATATGATTATAATTATTTATGATGCTTACTATGATTACTATCATATTGTTAATATTATTAGTATGATTACTATCTGATTAGTATTGTGATGATGATTATTATTACTATTATTATTATCCTTCTCCTCCTCCTCCTCCGCCTCCTCCTCCTCCTCATCCTCCTCCTCTTCCTCCTCCTCCTCCTCCTCCGCCTCCTTCTCCTCCTCCGCCTCCTCCTCCTGCTTCTCCTCCTCCTCCTCAATATTATTCTTCTCTTCTTCTTCTTCTTATTATTATTATTATTCTTATTATTAGTAGTATTCGTATTATTCGTATTAGTATTATTCGTATTATGATGATTAGTATGATTAGTATTATGATGAGTATTATTACTAGTATTAATAGCAAACATAGTATTATTATTAGTATTATTATTAGTCGTATTATTATTAGTAATAGGAGTAGTAGTACTATTATTATTATAATTATTATTTTTCTTCTTCTCCTCCTCCTCCTCCACCTCCTCCTCCTCCTCCTTCTCCTCCTCCTCATCCTCCGCCTCCTCCTCCTCCTGCTTCTCCTCCTCCTCCTCCTCCTCCGCCTCCGCCTCCTCTCCTCCTCCTCCTCCTCCTCCTCCTCCTCCTCCCTCACCACCATTCATCATCATCATCAGAAGCAGCAGCAGCATCTCATCCTCCTCCTCCTCCTGCCCGTTTCCGCCGCCTGCCTCCGCCTCCTCCGCCCTCCTCGTTCTCACCCTCCTCCTCATTCCCTGATTCCCTGTCATTCCCTCCTCCTTTCTCCTCCCTCCTGCTCCTCCTCATCCTCCTCCTCCTCTGCTGCTCCGCCTCCTCCGCCTCCTCCTCCTCCTTCTCTCCTCCTCCTCCGCCTTCTCCAACTCTCCTCCTCCTCCTCCCTCCTCATCATCTCCTCCTCCTCCTCATCCTCCTCCTCCTCCTCGTCTCCTCTTCCTCCTCCTTCGCTCTTCTCCAACTCCTCCATCCTCCTCCTCATCCTCCTCCTCATCCTCCTCCTCCTCCTCCTCCTCCTCCTCCTCCTCATCATCATCATCATCAGCATCATCATCATCATCATCATCATCATCGTCATCATCATCAGCATCATCAGCATCAGCATGATCATCATGATCAGCTTCATCATTATCATCATCATCATCAGCAGCATCATCAGCATCATCATCATCAGAATCAGCATCAGCATCAGCATCAGCATCATCATCATCATCGTCATCAGCATCATCATCATCATCAGCATCAGCATCATCATCATCATCATCATCATCATCATCATCAGCATCATCATCAGCATCGTCAACATCATCGTCATCATCATCAGCATCGTCGTCATCATCATCCTCACCAGCATCATCATCATCATCATCATCATCATCATCATCATCAGCATCAGCATCCTCATCCACATCATCATCCTCCATCCTCGTCATCCTTCATTCACCTCCCTGCCCCGCCCCTTCCTCCTCCTCCTCCTCCTCCCCCTCCCCTGCTCCACTCCTCCTCCTCCTCTTACCTTCTCCTCCGCCTCCTCATCTCCTCCTACTCCTCCTCCTCCTCCGACTCCTCCTTCTCTTCCTCCCTCTCCTCCCTCCTCCTCCTCCTCCTCGCCTCCTCCCCTCCTCCTCCTCCTTCCTCCTCCTTCCTCCTCCTCCGCCTGCTCCGCCTCCTCCTCCTCCTCCTCCTCCTCCTCCTCTCCTCCTCCTCCCCCTCCTCATCCCCCTGCTTCACATTCCTCCCCTCCTCCTCCTTCCTCCTCCTCCTCCTCCTCCCCTCCTCATCGCCTCCTCCTCCTCCTCCTCCTCCTCCTCCTCGTCATCCTCATCCTCATCCTCCTCCTCCTCCTCCTCCACCTCCTCCTCCTCCTCCTCCTCCTCCTCCTCCTCCTCCTCCTCCTCCTCCTCCTCCTCCTCCTAATCGGGCCAACGTCGAACCACCATCGGCAAGGGCACCTGAAGACACTGCGGGGAAAAATGAATGACACCATCGGGACACCATCGGGGCACCGTCGGGACACCACGTGGACACCACGTCGACACCATCGGGGCGCAATCTGGACACCGCCATGAACATCTGTTTACCGACCTCACGATTTATCTCACCATCGGTCACTCCACCAATCTAGCAGTCTCACTATCAATCGGTCTCACCATCCATCTCAACTTTGAACCCACTATCGATCTCACTATCGATCGGTCTCACGATCCATCGATCTCACTATCTCTCTCAGTGTTATATATATACAGATAGAGAGAGAGAGAGACAGACAGACAGACAGACAGGCAGACAGACAGACAGACAGACAGACAGACAGACAGACAGACAGACAGAGAGAGAGGAACAACACAAAAAAAACAAGGGACAACCATCGGGATAACCCTCGGGACACCATCTGGACACCATCTGGACACCATCGGGACACCGTCGGAAAACCATCGGGACACCATCGAGACACCGTCAGGACACCATCTGGACACCACCTGGACACCATCGGGACACCATGCGGACATCATCGGGACACCATCGGGGCACCATCGGGACACCATCGGGACACCATCGGGACTCCATCGGGACAACCAACACCATCGAGACACCATCGGGACACCATCGGAAACCCATCGGGACACCATCGGGACACCATCGGAACACCATCGGGAGACCATCAAGACACCATCGGGAAATCATCTGGACACCGTCGAGACACCATCGAGACACCACCGGGACACCATCGGGACACCCCAGGGCCACCACTGGGCAACCAGGGGGCAGAGCATCATCTGGCCCGGTTTCTCCCTGGCCACGGCGGGTTTATTCCACTCGCCCGCCCACGCAGCTTCGCCTCGCCCGCACGCACGACGCGAATACGAAACCCCAAACCTCCGACGGATGTATGTGGCGCGAGCACATTGCTAAACATGTATAGCCAGGCGTTTTGACTGTGTATACCTGCATACCTGTGATGTGCCGCAAATATTACAATACGTGAGACGCATCAAAAGAAAACTGTACCACTCAGCATGCACATCGAGAGTGCAGTAACCTACTGGTTGCGCCCACTTGGCGGGACATGCCCTTTATGTAAACCGATCCCCCATCTGCCTAACGTTTACACCATCTGCCGATCTAGGCTACTCTCTGACCCAGTCCCTCATTGAACGGCAATCTGTTTTCCCGCTCTGGCGAAAAGACTGGAAAATGTTCGACCCGCATCGAGCGTGCACGTGCATGTCGGCGCCCTGAAGAGCCGTCGACCTGCGAAAAGTGACCCCGAGTCAGAGCCGCGAGCGGTGAGGAGTAATCGGCCCATCAGACGTATCGCCGGTCTGCGACCCGTGCTGGACCGCGTCCGTGCTAGCCGTGCGCCGCGTGATATTAAAGACCACGCCGACCGGGAAGTGGTCTGAAACGTAGGGGCCCCCACCTGCAACGCGGTCCGTCATCACCTCGTAGCTCGCGGCCTCCAGCTGCAAGTCGTCCCCATTCCGGAACAAAATCCAGTCGATGTGCTGGGCATCCAGCTCGGACGTGGGACCCGCGCTTAATTCGACGGTGCCGTCGCCCCGGACTGGGTCGAAATCCAAGCCCTGGAACTTGTGAAGAGTAAACGGCACAGTGTCCTGAGGTAGCACGACCTGCCGGGCCGTGTCGAGGAGGCCCGTCTGAGGCCGTGCCAGTATATCGTACACCTCATTGTTAATCTTAATGTTGTTGAAGTCGCCAGTTACAATCTGGACGCACTGGGGCCACTCGAGCGTTCCGACCTCGATCGCCTTGGCGATGAACTCCGCCGACTTCTTCCGCGCCTGCACGCCCACGTGATCGAAGTGTGTGTTCAGCAGTCGCACAAGCCCCGCCTGCTGCAGCTGGCCATCACCGTTGGCCGCGCGCAGCCGGAAGACCGCGGTCTCGAGCGTGCGGGGGTACATCGCGTCCCAACCGGGCGTGCCTCGCGGGGTCCCGTCTGCCGCCAGCCACAGGGTGTGGTGGACCACCAAGTCCATACACCTCCTGTTGTAAAGGAAGCCGGCCATCTCGTCGCCCGTCTTGAGGCTCCGGGAGGTGCCGACCCAGCTGTAGCTCCCCTCGCCCGTGCGGGAGACCAGGAAGTCCAGCATGCCCGGGGTCGCCTCCTGCACGCAGACCACCGCCGGCTGCCTGGCGCGGATGAGGTCCGCGACCGCCTCGCGGCGGAAGCCCCAGCCGTTGGGCCCGTCGTCCTGGTCCTTTCGGCTACACGCAAGAGTGACCCTGGGCAAGAGTGACCTTCGGTGCGCGGCTTTTGGAGGGCCGCGAGGGGGCCAACACACAAGCGCGCAGGACGCCACTGCCGCCTCGCGTTCGGCGATCGGGGGACCCCATGTGGCCCGCACCAAAGGTCACTCCGGCGAAAGGTCACTCCTACGTCTAGTCGGTCCTTGAACTCCGTGCGCAGGTTGAAGCACCAGAGTTCGAAGTGCGCGGGGCCCGCCGCGCACGTCACCGGCAGCGCGGCCGTGCGCCGCGCGGCGGGCGCGCCCTCCTGGAGATGGGCTTTTTATGATTCCGCGTGGCCGTCGTTGCTCCAGATTTCGTAATAAAAGGGAGGGGGTCACAACCCTCCCAGACCAGAAGGTTTAGACCCCCCCCCCCAGACCATCCATGAAAGGGCGGCACGTTGCCCAGATCCCCCCCGAACCCTTCAAGACAGCTCAAATCAGACCCCCACCGCCAAATGTGACCCCCCCCTACTTTATTATGGAACCTGGAGTACCCGTGGAGGTGGGGTGCCCTGGGTAATGGTAACGCTTGGGAGGAGTGGGGCACGTCGGGGCGGCGGTGCGCTGCAATCGCCACGGCACGCGCGCGCGAGCGCGAGCACGTGGGGAGGGCGGTCTGGCCCCCCTACTGCCCCAGCGTACGATCGCTCGGGCACGGGGGGGGGGGGAAGGCTGGCCCGGGCAACGACTGCCACGCGCCTGAGAATACAAACAAAAGCGATGCGAGGCGGGGATTTATCCACACCCACCGCCTGGGAACCGATGTCCTGGTGCCCCAGCGGGCGGTGGACATGGGTATAGCTTGGCCCCCAGGGGCCCGACTGGATCCCTGACCACCGCCCGCAGAAGGCCCCCGAAAAAAATCACCCTCCAGGCGGTGGACACGCAATTATCAGTTTTGGAGGCCTGGAAATGGGCACCAACACCAACACAGGGGTTTGCCTCCACAAGGGGAAGATGATCCTAGATTTCGGTGTTGGTGGTAACATTTCGGTCACCTTGGAAGCCGGAATATTACCACCGTCACCGATATCGAGATCCTCTTCCCTCGGTGGAGGCACACCGCCGATAGTGGTGCTGGTGTCGACCTTTAGGCCTGCGATGCAGCTCCCGCCTCAGAGGCCGTCTCCTGGCGCGGGCAGCCCAGCGGGCGGAAGGCCGGCGCAGCCGTGGCCCTCGCCGCCGCGCCGCCGCCCCGGCCCGCCCGCAGCAGGCGGGCGGCCGGCGGCATCGGGGGGGGGGGGGGGGGCCGCGGCGCGGCTCGCGCGGCCGCGGGCGGCCGCGCGGGGAGGCGGAGGCGGCCGGGGCCCGCCCTGCGGGAGCCGCCCCGCTGCGGCCGGGGCCCTGCGGGGGAGCGGAGGCGGCGCCCCGAGGCGGCGGCGGGGCCCGCGAGCGGCGGAGGTGTCCGTAGGCACGGCCTCGCGGTCTGGGCTTGCAAGTCGGGCGTGCTCCTCTCTACAGGAGGCATAGTCAAACAGAGCTTGTTTGTGTTATTCCTTCTTGATGATGAAACCCAAAAGCCGTGGGGCGATGTTTCTGTTATTTTGTGACTATTCTTGGATATATGTGTTTTGACTCTTGTCAGTTTGGGCACCAAAATCCGCCTGCAGGAGGGCATACCCGACCTAAGTCTAGACTCCGGGGCGCGATCCCGCGGACACGCGGTCGCACGGATGCGTTCCGCGCGAGGCGTCCGCGAAAAAGCGCCCCGCATCCGCGGGGGGCGCGGCACACGCACGCCTCTCGCCAACGAAAGGCCGCGCTGGAAATGATCCGGAAACGCTCTGGGACGGCCCCAGGCGACGTCCAAGCAGGCCCTGGACGGGCCCCAGGACGAAGGGAACGGTGGTTCCGAGTCGCCCTCGGACACCCTCGGGACGTCTGTCTCCACGACCCTGGGGCGACAGCAGGCCCAGACAGTGGTCATTGGTGGAGATGGAAAGTTCGAACTATTGGAACGTGCTTGACCTCCTCGCCTTTCTCGCCTTCCTCGCCCGCTGTGACGATCGGGTCGGGCGAAAGGGGGGGATAGCAAAGGAGGGGGGTGAGAATCAGTTCACGTAGCTGATTTTCCCGGCGCCTCCCGGCGCCGGATGGAGCTATGCATCGAGGAATGGGCCCCTTGGTGAGGCCGAAACCAGCTGCATGCAGCAAATTTCGTACCCCCCCTTTCCCACTCCCCCCCCTTCGTCCAGCCCGATCCTCGCCCGCTGTGACAAAACTGCAACCCCAGACCCTCGACGTCATGATTTGCCCATGACGCCACAGAGGTCTGGCCCCTCTCGCCGGGACCGGAATTTCACCCTGCGTCCTTTTTTGACGGCCCCGAGGCCCGGCAAGGGCCCCCCAGAGGCCGAAGAGTGAGAAAAACCTCCCGTCGTGCTCTTTTCATCCTGCGTCGTTTTGTGACAGTCCCGAGGCCCGCCAAGGACCCCCGGAGGCCGAAAACAGCGAAGAACCTCCCGTCGTGATCTGGGGAGGAGGAGGAGGAGGAGGAGGGGGAGGAGGAGGAGGAGGAGGAGGAGGAGGAGGAGGAGGAGGAGAGAGAGGAGAGGAGGAGGGAAAAGGAGGAGGAGGAGGAGGAGAGAGGAGGAGGGAGGAGGAGAGGAGGAGGAGGAGGAGGGAGGAGGAGGAGGAGGAGGAGGAGGAGGAGGAGGAGGAGAAGAGGGGAGGAGAGCAGGAGGAGGGAGGGAGGAGAGGATCCTTTTCACAACGCGAGGGGAGGAGGAGGGAGGAGGGAGGGAGGAGAGGAGGAGGAGGAGGAGGAGGAGCAGGAGCAGGAGCAGGAGGAGGGAGCAGGAGGAGGAGGAGCCGCCATCCCAGCCAGGGGCCTCAGGCACGGCCCCCGCCCCGATGCCGTCCCCGCCCCCGGGGGGCGCGCGCGCCACGCCGGACCGCCGGCGCGAGCGCTGCAGAGGGGGGGGGGGTCCTGGGAGGCTCCGCCGGCGCCCGCGCCGCCGCGGGGAGCGGCGCGGCGGCCGCGGGCTCTGCGAGCGGCGCCGCGGCGGGCGGGGCCGCGGCCTCTCGCTGCGGGCGCTTCCGGCGGCTGCTCCTCCTCCTCCTCCTCCTCCTCCTCCTCCTCCTCCTCCTCCTCCTCCTCCTCCTCCTCCTCCTCCTCCTCCTCCTCCTCCTCCTCCTCCTCCTCCTCCTTCTCCTCCTCCTCCTCCTCCTCCTCCTCCTCCTCCTCGACCTCCTCCTCGGTCCGTCCTCCCTCCCGCGCCTGCTCGCCCTATCTGCCGCCTCCCTCCTCTGTGCTCCCGCCGGGTGCCTCTCTCTCTCTCTCTCTCGTTATCTCCGAGGTCCTCTCGCTTCGTTGTGATCCTTGCTGTCCTTGTATCGTATATTCTGCCTGCCCTAACCTCTACAACTGCTCATTCCGAGTGCGACTATTCGTTGCTTCATCTGTCTCGTTCTCTACTGTTTGTTTTGCCTTCTCTATCTCTTGCACTCTCACTCTCACTCTCTCTCTCTCTCTCTCGCTCCCTCCATCTCTCCCTCTCCCCCTCTCCCTCTCTCGCCACCACCGCCCGACCCAACGACATCGTTTTTTTGCACCCGTCCCTCACGTACGGTTTCACGCACATGAGGTCACAAAGTGCCGATTCGCACGTGTTTTCGCGCCCAGAGCGTCTTGAGTCGTCCCGAATGTCGCTCTCCCCCTGGCACCTGCCACGATCCCGCCCTCATCCAGAAATCGGTCCCCACAAATGCGGCCATGGCCCCCCCGCAGCCGCGGCGAGGAGTGATGGGGCCGCTCTGGGGCTCCCACGGCAGCAGCCAGTCCGGAAGCCCGCAGATGCAGCCACCGTTTGATACGTCCGCAGGAGGCGGAGACCGAGGAGGCATGCCGCGGGCGCCGAGCTTCAGCGCAGCTGCGCTTCTGCTCCTCCTCCTCCTCCTCCTCCTCCTCCTCCTCCTCCTCCTCCTCCTCCTCCTCCTCC